GTCTTGGGGATTATCGCACAGTAAGACAATATCGTCCGCATACTCAAGGTCGAGAAGTCTTTCTCCAGGCAACAGATCCACACCACCATTACTTACATCCATCAGAGCTGTTTCCAGAATGTCATCGATGACAACGTTGAAGAGGAATGGTGAGATTGGGCAACCCTGCCTAACCCCACTGCTCGAATGGAACAATGGAGAGAGGTGGTTGTATGCCCTCACTCTGCCTGAGGTGTTTTATATAGGGCTTTTAGGATGTTAATAAACTTCTCAGGCACACCCTTCTTCAATAGACAATCCCAGAGAACAGTCCTATCCAACGAATCGAAGGCAGCCCTGTTGTCAAGAAACACTACGATTGTTGGCCTTTGATAAGTATGGCAGTGTTCTAACACTTGGCGGAGGGTGAAGATATGATCAATACATCCTCGACCAGAACGAAACCCAGCCTGCTCCTCGCGAGTCAATCTTTCTCGGGTTTTGAACAACCTACGAAGTATGACGGAAGCCAATAGCTTGGACGCAATTGGAAGTAGACTTATCCCCCCGATAGTTGTTACAGGAACGACGTGAACCCTTTTTAAAGATAGGGATAACTATCTACTCATTCCATGACGTTGGTACACTCTCTAGCTCTCACACCTTTGTAAACAACGTCGTCAGTTCCTTAGTCAGAAAGTCACCACCATCTTTAAAAAGAGCCGGAGGTAAGTCATCTGGGCCAGGTGATCTGTAACGCTTCAAGAGTTGGAGTTCCTTGCGGACTTCCTCCTCGTTTGGTGGAACAGTTGTCACCGGCCATGGAGGGTAGGACAGTTTGACCGATGTTGCTGGAGCAGCAGGCCAGTTGAACTGCCCTTCGAAAAATTCTGCCCATCGTCCAAGACGTCGATAGATGTTAGTGATTGACATCCCATCATCCTCGCAGATTGTTTCACTCACACCAGACTTCTTGCTGCCAGTGGCTCGGATGAGTTGGAAGAGCTTCCGGTAACTACCAGATGCAGCTGCTGCTTCCAGCTCATTAGCACGCTTCGACCACCAGGCTTCTCGGTCCTTACGCAAGCTTTGCCCAATTTCCTTTCGTAACATCCTTCGTTTATGGTCAAACTCACAGTCACCCGGAGTAGACCGACGGGCTTCAATGAGTTGTAAGGAACCAGAAGAAACCCAGTGCTTATAAGCGGGACGTTTCGCGAACCCACAACTGACTGTACCCGCCATTTTCATGGCGTCATGCAATTGCAACCAATGCTCATCTATACTTTTCGATGGAGTGGTAGCTAGCCTAGAGGTTAGCTCGGTTCGATACTTACTTGCAACAGAAGTTGCAACCAGCTTGCTAATAAATAAAAATAATATATTTGTAATATCCCAATGAGTATAAAATTGGGTTTTCTGACGTTTCGTGACTTAGTGTAAGTCACTTCTTCAGAGAATAAATAACCAAATTAAAATTAATCCAAGTTTAAATAGTACAACGGAACAATGCGATAATAATATTGGATCAATCAAAAAACAGGTCTGAACAAGTTGATGTCTTGCTAATTTCAATCCGTTGATGGCGGTCACTTCGTTGTCCACTGAAAAGTAAGGCAAGATTTGCGCAGACCAAGGCATGGTCAGAGTCCAGATAGGTACTCCAAAAGGAGCGGCAGTCTTGTACACAACCACGCCAGCTTTAGCTCATCGCGATGTGATCAATCTGAGTCCAGGCTTGAGATGCAGAGGGAGGACGCCAGGTGGCACATCGGCGATGACTTTGCCGAAAGTTAGTGCTAGCCAGAAACAGGTTGTGGTCTGTGCAAAGTTGCAGTAGACGGTCCCTGTTATCTGACCTGCGACCGACGAGTCCCCATCGGCCATCTAAACGACTCTCTTCTGTGCCTAGACGCCCGACCTGAGCATTCCAGTCTCCGGCTAGTACTACAATATCTGTCGAACGCACTTTCTGGAGAAGAACAGACAACTGGTGGTAAAACTCATCCTTGATTGCATCCGGGCTGCAATCTGTCGGGGCATAGGTGGAGATGACGAAAAGACATCGTTTCTCACGCCGATTTCTTCTCACTTTGATGGAACTCTCTAATCTAACAGCACATAACCGACTGTTAATGGGGATCCAATCGATTAGTGCTGCCCCAGCTCTAGCGCTTAGTGCGACACCAACGCCAGCAAGACCAGACGAAGACGCCACAGGGTCCCGGATAAACGCACGTAAAACAAGCCTTTTGAAGCGACAGATGGAGAGCGAATTTGTAGTACTTCACCAGAGTCTTGAATACTGGTCTCGGATAGACAGCAAACATCGATATTAAGACTTTCCAAAGACATAGCCAGCCTTATCTGTTGTTCAACCTGCATAAGTGTGAGAACGTTGAAGGCAGCCAGTTTGAATGGTGCATGTGGTTTCAGAAAAACTGCTTCAGTATTCGTATTCGGTGGTAGCATACAATTTTCAACCAGGTAGTGACTCGAGAACGTTTAGATACAGTCGAATTTCCACGAGCTGCTGTATAAGTCGAAAAAAATAAGTATAGACAGAGTAGGAATAAAAGAGGATGAATAATGACGTAGTAAATAATAATAATAATGATAATAATAATAATAGTAATAATAATAATAATAATAATAATAATAGAATCATTTGAATGTTCGTCGAGGCAAGAGAATTAGTTTCCATGATAATAGACAGTTAAGTTCATTAATTGCGTGTGGGCTGCGATACTGCCCGGGTGCCCAAACCGAAGCAGGTGGTTATCTTAGGGGGCCACACCCCGAGCCTTTGACCTAAAGGTCTAACCCACAAGGCAGTGGAGCATCGCAAGGAGATGCAGTCCCATGGTAACCGGTGACCAACGATTGGTTCATACGCCATTTGTTCCCGCAGGATACTGGTGCCCATGTGCACCATTGATTTGGAATCCGGTTAAAGCGCCGGACATTCGCTTTTCATCCTCTCATTTTCGTAAACGACACCCCCGCCACGAGAAGGCAGTGAGTAGGACTTCCCTGGCAGAGACTGTATACGCGCGGCCGTGTGAGAGTATTTCGAGAGGGAGGGCGAACCCACTCCGCTCTCGGCCATACCAGGGCATTTGGGGGCCCATATAAAAGAAGACGAAATAATGGCAAGTTTTGATGTATCTTCCTTATTCACTAATGTACCTATCAGTCGAGCTATGGATATTATCAATGATTGTTTAGAATCTGATTTAGATTTGAATTTACGATGCCCATTAGATCCATCAGAGGTTATAAAATTGTTAGAATTATGTTTAAGATCTACCTTATTCATATTTTGAGGTCAACTTTACAGACAGAAAGAGGGTATAGCAATGGGGTCACCAGTTTCTCCGATTGTAGCGAATTTATTCATGCATTCCATAGAAACTAGTGCAATCGCAAAGAGTTTATGTCCACCAAAGTTATGGTTAAGGCATGTAGACGATATTTTTATTATCAATAAACGGGATGGTATGGAAGAACTATTTAACAATGCAAACAGCATTTCTGAAAACATTAGACTAACTAAGGAATAAGAAACAGTTGACCACAAACTAGCATTTCTAGATTGTTTGGTTGAACGTCGACACAATAATAAGAAGTTAAAAATAAATGTTTACAGAAAATCAACACATTCCGAGAGATACTTGGATTTTAATTCAGCCCACTCACAGAGCACGAAAATTAATGTGGTAAAAAATCTAATGAACAGAAGTACTAAGAGTGTTACAGACAAGACCAACGAACCGAATTAAATAAAGTATTTTCTACTCTTAGGGATAACAACTACCCAAAAAGGTTTTTAAAGAAGATTATTAAAAATGAAAGAAAAACTAAACTAGAAAGTGTACGAAAAGAATGGAAGTACACCGTAGTCATACCTTACCGTAGTGAAACATCAGAAGAAATCAAACGGATTCTAGACAAACATGATACAAGAGTGTATTTTAGAGCGAATAACACATTAAGATCGACATTAGTGAAAGTGAAGGACAAATTAGCAAAGGAAGAACAACAGAACATTGTGTATGAGATTCACTGTCATGACTGTAATGCTACCTATGTTGGAGAAACATCCAGGCAATTGAATGTAAGATTGAAGGAATACAAACAATGCTTGAAAATGTTCCGAAATCCTCGGTCGATTTAAAGAAACTTGAAAATAAGTCAGCAATAGCGTTACATGAGTTAGAAACAGGGTACAAGATTAATTTTGAAGGGACCAAAATACTTCAGAAAGGTTTTAACACCCATAAAGAAAAATTGACAGCAGAAGCGCTGCATATATGGGCAAACAAGAACAGCCTGAACCGAAAAGATGGTATTCAACTGGCGACTACCTGGCAAATTTCGTTTGACAAGTAAATTTGGAACCTATCTCTTGTTTAAACCTGTTTTTTAATATCACATGCATCGTTATTATTTTTGAAAGAATTCAATGAGTTTTCTAAACAATACAATTTATGTTTTGACATGTACATCGATGTTTCTTTATCAATTTTTTTCATCCTTGAACTCGAACTTTATTTATTCCTTCAATATCAATCTCTCACACATACATACATACCTACACACTCACACACATACGATTTGTTACTCAGTTAAGTATTTCCATGTAGTTGAATTCTCCACATGATTTGTAGTTAACTGACTCATTTTATCCTATTTTACAAAATCAACATCCAAATATGATTGGTTTAACACACTATAATCCTGATTGTTAAAAAGCCATATATTTCTTTGATAATTTTGATTTTGATTATTACCTTGAAGAAGTCCAGACAAGTTAGCTGGACGAAACGTTGGAATTAGTTATATTTCAATCGCTGAGAATATTTCAAATATAATTTTCACATATATTATTATCAGTGTTTTAAGAAAGCTCCCTAGAAGTACATGTAAATCCTAGTTGCATGAACAGACATTTTTCGGCCGTTTGCAATTCAGAAAAGTTGTGAGTTATCTTAATATAAAACAATCATATAACAACTTACACTAACAATGTAGTACATGGAACCACAATGACAATACATAACGTAATTTCCGGTGTAGTTATTGATGTCAAACTAACATAATAAAGTGAACCGATCAGACCGGCTGCACCAGTTCCACATGCCCAAGCCGAAATACAAGATCTAGAGAAAAGTTCGTACACCCCACCCCCAAATAAAAAATCGTCAATTATTTTAAATCACATACTGATGAAATCATAAAATAGTAATGTATTTTGTATATGAGATCAAAGAGCAAGTTGAATACGCAAGTAATCAACAAACACAAAATAATTGATTAGGTGACTAATGAGACAAAGGCGTATAGAATTCCTAGAGTAGATAAAACTCTATGTGTTTGTAATACGATCATTAAGCTAAGTGATTACTCCCGTTTTTATGACTCCATGTAAAAGATGTTTAAAAATTGTTAAATGAATGAAAAGAATCCTGATCGGCAGAAGAAATGTAATAGTATGATAACAGATCGCAATATTGGATTATTATTGCAAATCCCAGCACGAGCTGACATTAAAGACAATATTATTAGCCAAGAAAATAGGTGTTTTTACTCAATAAGATGACTTACTTACACGCAAACTGTTGACAAAAAGATGAACGTGATCAGATATCATAGAAGAATGAACGAAATCAGTTTTATAGGTCACGTAATCTTCAATGAATTATGATCTGAATATTAGACCAAAATTTTTGTCACCACATCAACATTACAGTAAATTATGACTTATGTCAGAAACTTAGACGTAGTCTAAAACGTGTGGATTTTACAAGTCAACTGTAACAGTTAATCTAATCTACACCAATGGTTTATATTATGATGTTAACTGACTGAAGGTAGCCAGTAAGAAACTCTAGAACTAGGTTCCGTGATGGTTGAGGCTCATCAACAAGGTTTGCCTGGAACCTCGAGGGAACAGATGATTTTTTTCCAAATACGAATACACGTCACCCATCTTCACGGTTTGAGATGATGCCAGTGAGCTACTCCAGCCTCGAGTAACTTTTTACAAGAGGTGTAGGTAATGTCTAACTACAGGCATCAAAAGCAAAATATGTTACCAACTGGATTTCGTTATTCAGATGGCATGTATGGAGTGGACTACGAAAAACTATCGCATTTTGACAAATATCAGAAATCCGTAAGTTTTTAAACGTGGAATGGCCGATGGACCTTGATAGACAATAATCTCAATGAAGCGTAAAACGAAACAATTTGATTCAGTTTAAAATTTGTCATTTCTAGCACAAAGGGTAATAAGACTGAGGAAATACCACTCGGATGATAAGTACACAACATGCGTGACATGATTTTGACTCAACTTCAACAAGATTTGCACTTGCTAACAAGACCAGGGAAACAAAGCCCTCAAATGCCCTGGTACGGGGCCAAGAGTGAGGAGAGTCAGCTCTCTCTCTCTCTCAAAGTGCTATCACATGTCCACGTGTATACAACCACTGACATGGAAGTCCAACTCACTGCCTTCTTACGGAATTACTGTTGTTTACGAACTTGAGAAAGTGAATGTCCGGTGCTCTAACAGAGTTGGTGGATATGGAGGATCCACCTAGAGGAGTTGGAAAACCCTAATTCCAAGCCAGTGGTGCACGCGGGCTTCAGGATCCTGAGAGAACAAATGGCGCATGAACCAATCATTGGTCGCTGGCTACATTGAGACTACATTTCCCACCGTTGCTCCACCATCTTATAGATTAGACCTCCAGGTCAAAGACTTGAGGAGTGGTCCCTAAGGGAACCATGTGCTTCGGTTTGAGCACCTAGATAATATCCCAGCCCTTAAACAAATCGAATGATTTATGTGGCGCATATGTATTCGGTACCCCGTTGTACAAATGTGTGTGTTTAATTAAAATAAAAAATAAGGTAAATATGGAATATAAATACATAACCCAAAGCCCTCCGAAGCTAATATCTGTCCTAAGCTCGAATAAACAAGGGCTGAGAGAAGAGTTTACGATCCAACCTCGTAAAAAGAAACCCACTAAGAAGTCGTTAGTCAAAGAAAATCGATTAGATACAATGTCGAAAGCTGATTAGCATACTTGTCAAAGAAAGCTACCATGCTTAAGAAAGTAACATCTCCGATTCCTGAAGATAAACTTGCCGACACAATCCCTAAAAATATTTTTTCAGAAAGAAAGGAATCAATTAACAATGAGTTAAGATCATAAAAAAGAAATATGACAGTTTCTAGTCGGTTTAATTAGTTATTAATAATCTATTTCACTCATCATTATTACAGAATACACCACGAATCACACTCACTATTTGCATATGTGAATAGAATAACAAACATGTTCATTATCTTCAATCTCATAAAAATCGTATTCACCATAAGATACATTTTATACAGTATAAGCAGCTGACATACATTTTCAGAAAGGGGTTTACGGATATTGTACATAATATATTGTACTAACGTATGAAATAATATAGCACATAAATTTTGTCTTGGATGCCACTGCTAGTTACTAACAAACTTAAAAAAACACTAGTGATTAGACGGAAACATTGAGGCGACTTGCTCAGGATGCACGGAGATCGATCCGCTGCAATTCATAGCATCAACAACCCTTGGAAACAAAACAATTTCAGTCTGCCTTTGTTCCTTAATATTATAATGTTTCAAAACTTTTATGATACATCCAACAATTAACATAAATACTTTCTTCATTGATATTATTCAATTGATCAATAAGAAAATACTATTATCAATAGTTTCAGTCAGTAAGTTATGATTAAAGTAGGGCTAATAAAATCATACTGTTACGAATTATGTTCCCTACATGATCTTTTGTTCAGATCCCAAGTTCGAAAGAAACAAACATTAAACTGATCACATTAAGCCGAAAATGCTTACCAAAAAGACTCGTAGAGAAAGACTGAGAAAATGAAACCACCAGAAAACTATTAATCGCCAGTAGGACAGCGCATAAAATTTTGAAGCTAAAATAAAGAGATCGGCAGGCTGTTAAGAGCAAATATCCCCCAACAAGCAACTTACGTAGGAAGTATCTAACTTATTATAAAATGAAAAACCAAGCAATTTCAAAAGGATTTGCTAAACTTAAATATAATTTTTAGATTGAAACTAGACATAACAGAAATTTAATGCGAATATTATAACTGTCGAAAGCTCACAGCTACCGGATGCTGAAACATAATATTTTATCGTACATCAACTGTAATAGTTAATACAGTCTCAACAGATACTACAATGGCTTTCACTAAGATTTTAACTGATTAAAAGTAGCCGGTAAGAAACTCTAGATAGTGATAGCTGGAGCTTGTCAACAAAGTTTGTTTGCAACCTTAAGGGTATTGATGCTCCCCGTTGGATTCGGATCGGTGTCACCCAACTTCATAATATGAGAGGTTACTGATGAGCTATTCCTGCCATAACTTATCTCTTTCATGAGGTGCAGGTGATCTCATGTCGCTCAGACTAGTGAACGCAACTTGACTGGACAAATATAATGATTGTGACTGCCCAATGATCACCGTAGATTATGGGTTACTTTACATCTCCACGGAAACTGGATTATAAGTTAAGGCTAAACTGCTTTAAAGAAAGGACTTACTGGAAATGAAGTTTTTGTATGAATATTGGAGAAATAAACTTGAAAATCATACTCGGAAGTATATCTGCCAACAGGACACTCTATAAGAAAGAGTTAAAAACAACAAAAACGTACTCCCGTCCCAATCTTTGTACAGTTTATGTGATATGTACTGATGTTCGTAGTGAATTCAATCTGTGACTATGAAATGAAAGGATAAAAAATAGGAAGTTGATTCGAAAACAGTTAACAAGTATTATTTGCAATTGGTTAATAAAATCCAATACATAGTTTATATATCTTACTGTAACTACATGAAAAAAATCGTAACTGAGTAGTTACGAAGCTTTCGGGTTAATTTAAGCGTAAATGAGAAATTTTACGTTATACTGCTGGAAAAATCCGCTAACACTAAAAGGATTAACTACTTTGCAAACTCAGCATAAAGATGATCTGGAAAGACGGACTGACTTGTTTCCTAATTGACCAGGCTTTGTCAATGACTGAAAGTAGATCCCGTGGAATATATATTTTGAGCCAGTGTTATTTGTGTCCTCGAATTAGTTGGGTTAAACTGAATGACTCGAGTTAGAGTAATTGAAAGGAAATAATTTCGCTAATAATCAATTCTTTATATGGAATAGTTTAAGCTAAATTTCTTGCCAGTTCAGGCTCAAGGGTGTGGAAAGGATCAAAGGCGTAATAGTCCCAGGTTTGAACCCCACTCAATCAATTTCATTTTAAGCTACTGGATAGGATCACCAAACCTCATGCGCTAATAAAGGCATAAACGTTTACGCTAAAAAAAAGAGGGATACAAACTTTATCATCCTCAATTAAGCCAAAATCTAGCTAAGGAGGTAGTGCAACGGATTTATATACTCGGCTTTGTAACATAATTATTCGTTTGTGAGGGATTACAATACTAAATTAGATGGGAGAGGTTGGACACAATCTAATTATCGGAGCATTCTAGCAAGTAAAGTACTTCCAACAATGGCTACACTGAGACAACAATTCATAAATACTTTCGGGAAAAACCATCTTACATCTTGTTTTCGTATAATATCCACAGCTGCACTTAGCATAATAACATATGAGAAATTATTACCCAAACCAAAACACCTGTGACAGATTTCCACAAAGTTTTATTTAAACGATATATTGATTACCAAAAAGCTAAGTAATTCCGAAGTTTCCAATGATTGCAACGGTGACGACATCTGCAACACTCTGAAAATTAATTTTAAATACCGTCACATATCAAATCGGCAACTACCACTCGACATCTCGGAATCGATATATTACTTATCAGAGAGAAGTGGATGCACAAATCACACTAAATATTGGAGACAAGTGGATCGATTCATGAATAGAAAAGACAAATTACCCCTAAAACGTGTGAAATTCGGTAGGAACAATCTTTAAATAACAATTAACAGTTTGGTGGTTAATATCAGATGCGTATAGGGGCATAAGTCATCGGAGTGGAGGCATCAAACTGAACCCATTAAAACTTGTGTCAATGAAACACGAAGTCGACACGGATGTCCAGCGTACGACCTTGAGCAGGTTTCAAGTCACCCTGTACATTTTAAACCAGTGCAATATCCAATAACATTGTCACGTGTTTGCATAACCCGATCGTTTTCTTTGTGCTTGCCTCTTATTGTCCAATGGGTTGTGGTATAGCTATTTCACTACACTTATTTGAGTCGATTTGGTAGTTATTCTAAGATTTGTATATCTTGTGATTTGAACGAGTGCGTCTATCTCAGCGGTAGAGATGCCGGATATCAGCAGCTATCACATTATCAGACAATGGGTTGACTGGTTGCGATGTAAAAAGTTATGAAGCTTGTTCGAATGCCGAAAGTGGACGATTGTTCCAAGAAATAAATACATTAGTTAAATAACTGGTAGTGTGTGGGAAGACGGAATTGAAAGAGGGAGAAGGGGAAAGGAAGCTACAAATAAAGGGATGAGAAGTATTTACTGATGTACGGTTATGATAATCAAGGTAATTTATTGTACATACACGAGACAATTGGTTCAAGAAGGTGATGGTAATCCATGTGGTTATGTGTTTGTCATGTCACCTCTTAATGCTATCCACTGATAGCGCTGTGGTCACTGTGGCTGGGAAGACATTCAAAACAGAGTAACTCTTATTGAAACAAACTGAAAGCATGTCTGGGTGTTTGCTCTTTGATGTGCAATCTTTCGAGGGTTGCGTCGAGGAGTGTGGTGATTAAGTTCTGGTCATAGGCTCATTTTGAAGTAGCTTGGCGTCATCAATATGTTGTATGTGACCATCAGGTCACCTCTTATTGTCCTGTAGCTCAACGACAATAATGCCTATTGTTGAAGTCTGTCCTTCGAAGGTCTATGTTTCGAACATATAAATCAGTTTGCTGTCCGTCTCTACACTTGATCTAAGAGATTTATATGTCTTTCGAAGAGAGAGGGCACAACGACATTTTGAACTTCAAGATGTGGATCGTGTGTACGTTTTAATTTGTGTTAAGAACAATTCTGAGATGATTCAGCCAAGTTTTTTCCGCACAAAGTGGAGACTTGCGTTCCCCTTGATTATACCTTCAGTGTCTAATCTTGTCGTGGTTACAAATCTGAGACAACGGGGACCGAATTTCCCGAAGGATGCTAGTGCTTTGTGTCATGTTCATGACATGACATTTCGACAGGTTAGGTTTTAACCCATTTTCTATTGCCCATTCTTCTATTTTTGTATAGTACTTTTGAAACTCAAGTGAATACTTTTAATCCCTTATGGAAATTCAGACCCCTGTATCAACTCCATAGATCAATACCTCCTAGCTAACTCTATCTGACAGGTCGTTGATAGAGATCAAAAACAGGATGGACCTAAGGTTATGAGAAAATTAGAAATATGCGAACTGATGCGTTAGCTAAGAATCCGCGAAATAGGGCAGTTTAAGGCAGGTACAATAGATGGGCACAAATGAACATATTATATTCGGAATTCAGAATCCACGGGCAATCATGTATAGAAGTATTATTAGTTCGTTGTTCCTTGCGAAACTCCTGATGTTGACACCTTTGGACTTGACTGTACTCTATCTAACTTCACATAAAACATACTGTTCTCTAGGTATTTTTGGAGTCAAGACAAATGTCGGTAGGTGAAACCCTTGGTCATGAGAAATGGAAGAGGAATTGTGCCAAAGGCTTTCTACGAAATCGAGAGACATCACACAGACCGCTATCTTACGTTACCAGCAGGTCTTCAAGTTTTCACATACTGTGGGTAGATTGGACTTACAAGACCTACTTTTCCTGAACCCGTGTTGGGTTACGTGCAGGTTGTTGTTTTTACCCAAGTATTCCTCCATTTGTTCACTGGCCAGTCTTTGATCAGTTATGCTGACGAAAAACGTATCACGTTCAACATCCAATCTGTGTGATCACTTGTATGAACCGATTGATTTCTTTGATCACGTCCATGTAAGTTCGGGCTTGGTATCCCTCAGAGGAAACTTTCCGTTCTGCCTGTCACAGGTTTCCCGTGCCTCACCTAAGTCACGACGTTATCGCTCTAGGTGTTTCCGGTTGGATGAATGACGCATGAGATAGCATTCAGAAGAATATAAGTCACCAACTTCCAGCAGTTATTCACCCTCGTAGCCATGGGGTGTGTTGAAGTTGCTCCCCAATGGCCATGTAGTTTCCCGTACTGTAGCGAGGGTAAAGAACATCCTTACTATCTTGAAGAGCCTCAGTTGTGACCACGTTGGATATGTTTGTGCCGCTGTCATTGCTTCCCATTTGTGTTTGTACATGAACCTCTTCGACTAGGAGCTGGTCATTTAACAGAAGGTAGATCGGCAAACAGACGTATGACTTATGTCTTATGGGTTACTGGCCAGGTTAAAATCCTGTCAAAGCTTGAATTATCACTGACGTCAGCTTCTCTAATAATTCTTACACACGTGACTCCTTGACTGTTACGCTGAATCTCAACCTACCGCCTTTTTGCTGTACCTATAGAGTACACTGTATATTTTTCAATGAAATTTTGAAAATACATATCACACAAATAGCTATAAATATCCACCTAAATACGCGGATTTTCTCCACATTTGCTTCACAAATAATTTCCACTTTACGCTTCCCGGAGTTTTGTACACTAACAGTCCAATCTACTTTTTTCATGAGTAGCATCGCAGGCATGCTTTTATGGAGAACAAGGTTACTGAGGATTATGTGGTAAGAAATATACAAACCACGACAAAATTATCTGATAGTTAAGTTTGACTGTACTAAAAGCACCCTGACTGTTACATAACAACTTTGAATTACAGCGTGCCTTTAGAAGAAAATGGAGTAATTCATCGTTACTGCGAAAGCAAGGTACGAATTATTGTCAAAATAACTGAAGGGGAAAAATGACACCTGAATATCTACTATTTGTTCCTTACCGAAAAATTCCTGTTTTTCATCTCTCAGTTCCAGACATTTTGCATAAATACACATGAAGTTAATCTAGGAATGATTTTTTGTACCAACATATAAATATCGATAACGTGCATCTATATTATCTAGGCTGTGGCTGACATTGATATCTTTGCCCGTCCCGTCTTTCAACATAGCAAACACTTGTTCACACGTCGATTCACTATTCCAAATCATAGACGCAGGTTGCGGCGTCGTTCACATGACGAGTGCAAAGTATTTTTCTGGTTTTTCCGTATTCCTGTTCAGTTAACTGAGTAACAAGGTCAATAACAACATGAAAGTTCGGGGATTAGTTCCAAATATCACGCTTAATCTGGTCCTTTTTCGATTTACACAATTTTTCACATCTGGTTTTCATACGTCAAATCCGAATTCCGAAGACAATTCAGGCAATTTTCACTATATCAGAAGGTGATTTACCATCCTTTTGATGCGTCATAATATGTATGTATTTTCATCTAGTGTAGCCATACATATTGTTGCGTACAACCAACACTCTCAAACCCGTTTTGATATAAGACCCTGAACAACTCCATACGACAACATACTAACATGGGTGTGTTGGTTCTGAGCGAAGCCTATAAGATTCAATATTAGTTTTCGTTATGGCTATCGTCGTTACACATCTATAAATATTAATAAGCCAACTACAGTAACCTCCTATGAAGTCCATATAACTTCCGTCAGGCTCTAAACTGTAGTTTCATAAGTCATGTCTCGGATTTTTAATTTATTGACATGTACTACTAATTTTTATACACCTCATCAAGTCACACATTAAATTAGTTTACACATATATCATATTACACTATCACTGTGCCATTCGAATTCGACTGTTATTTGAACCGTTCTAATATTCTCCGCTATACCCACCACGTCCCTTTCAGATGTATGTGTTTGGGTTTGTGAGTTTGGCTATCATATTAGTTGTATAGGAAAACGACTCACCTATTTAAGATCATAGGTGAAAACAAAGCCACTCCATTAAGATATTAAAGCACTAGACAAATGTATTAATGATGTAGTTGCTTTTAATACAAGTGCTCAACACGTTTAAATCTGGCATTAGGTTAAGGAATATTTCCACGCCATAATTTGTAATAAAACAGGGCAACTCGGATTAGTTAAAATTACACAAACCCTCCCGAATTTCTAACACTTGAAAATCATTCAATGTGCACATATTTTAAACCACTAAAAGTACTGAGCATCTAAAACAACTTTACCTATTTCCTACTAGATAATACGAGAACAATACTATAATTATTTATTCATAAATATTTATAGATATTTTCACAAATCATTTTCACGACTTGACATTCACGTAGCACGACTGATGAACTTGGTGAAACGTTTGATACAAACTGTGTCAAGAAACTGGCTGATAATTACGATTAAACGGTGTTGTCTTTTTGTGGCTATCTTTATCTAAAAAAGGCTATGGTATATTTTGTTATCAGTCACTCATTCAGCAAACATATTAGGACTTCTCCAATTTATTTGGTGATCTAGTGATAGAATCATTAGTGTACATTATCGGTGTAAAGAGTCAAGAGAATTTACCGCAAACTGAAAATATTGCTGTCAAATTTACCCCAACAGAAAAGGAAGTTCGCGCCATTATCATATCAATAAGTCGGAAGTGGAGCATCCCTTGGATACAACTTATACTCTCCCTGATAATTACATGAGCAGCAATTATCGTTTGTCATCTCGTAAAGATTTATTGATTTAAAAGCATCGTACAACACAATGTAATCTACTTCTGTGGCACATAAGCTTAGTTTCTTTC